CGGTGCCATTAGAGGCTCAATATTCCCTGCCACACCTGTGGTTGAGTATTCGTGATAAGCTCCCTTCATTCCTTTTGTACGATCCCGTTCATCAAGGTTATTGCTTTTGCTACGCGTACCAGTTTCGACCTTTGTTTCTCCAGGCTCAAACCTGAAGAGCCAATCCCGCGTTATGCATTCTCTAGATACATTCCTTCTCAAAGCAGTTACCATATTTCGGACTGGCCCTGCCATGTCTGTTCAGAGTTTGAAGACAAGAACTGCCAACTGTAGGAAGTCACGATTTTGCGTAACTCAAAAGGGAGGGCAAAACGACAGAAGTTCCTAGAATCAGCTCAAACCTCTGCATGGACATGAAAGGGCCGATCTTTCTCTACAAGATGGCATCCAGAATATTTGAACAGTTGCAAGAAAACTCACCAAAAAATGTAGTAGAACACTCAAGGTGCAAAACGGCGGATACTTTTTGACCAACCTAATAGATCCACCTCTGTTACGGAGTACAATAAGCGGGTCTATGCCTGGCTTTACGGATGCTAGTTCATATTTTGATTTTTCGATAGATTTCCGTCAGTTCCCCTTTGCATTGCGCTGTTGTCACCAAACCTCGTGAATTCACTGTCGTCGTTCCAGATGACGTTGAAGCTGAGCAGGCATTTCCAGTTAAGTGGGCGCCTTCCATTCCCTATCGCTTTGCAGATGTTCAGTTTTACAGCAGCGATAGGTAGTGAATGCAACTGTATGCAGGTAGGTTCCGGAAGGTGTTGTGTATTTACACGCACGGTACTGCCTCAAGCTGACTCGTCTTTTGGCAACACAGCGATCCGAATCATCGAAGGTCAACTGTGCAAGGGCGCTCTCGTCATCTTGGAGGGACAACCTCAGCTGCAAATCCTGTGCGTCATCGAGACAATGATGAAAAGTGAGGAATCCTCACGCAGAAAAAATAGCAGGAAGAGAGGTCGAGAAACTGGTCAAATTTGAAGGAAGCTTGAGGGAGATGCCCAAATAAACAATGAATTCATTTGTTGAATTCATACTCAGGAACTCTTTGTTGAATTTATACTCAGGAACTACGTTTTCAACGACTCTAGAAGTCCATTAACGGAGTATCTACTCTGCCGTGTTATTTATCATGCACTCGAGTTTTGCGAGCTTGTAAGCTTTTTTCACAAAAGTTTGGAATTTCTCAGAGTTTGGTCTGGTCATACTCGGGAGCTCCAGCAAAATACTATTTCACTCCTCATTCTTTCTTCCATCGAATAGGAACAAGGCGGCTCAATGAAAAAGGCTCGCATCCAAAATATAAGAGTTCGAACTGATTAAGAAAAAATTATCAAAGAAAGCCGTCGCATACTACTTATGAACTCGAAGCACATCCTGTCGGACTCCTAAAAATTTGTACCCATTGAAAGGTTAGCGAATAAGGTGTCAGCAGCAACGTCGCGTGCATTTCCAAGCAGTACTACTATGCCGAGCATCATCTACAGTCGATGGCGAATAACACTAAAAATTAATGTCGGATCTGAGATCGTGGGCAGCTCACGCCACTCCGAGGATCGAGATTTCTTTTCTGATGCATTTTGCCTATCGTAGCATATACATATGTGTTTTTGTTGATTTGCTTTGAGGCAAAGGCGGCCTCAGTCTCAAAGAACTAGTCGCTCCCGTGTGTGGTCCGCCACTGTAAAGATCGCGCCACCTTCGCACGTCTAAGCGCGTCACTCAAGCTGGTGCCAGAGCCCGCGATTCATAGCGCGATTCGCGAAATCAGTCCTGAACTCTGACACCACCCTAAGATACTATGCGCTAAAAGCTTCGATCAAATCCCTCTCAGGGGAATCGAGGACCACTTGTCGTCGTATCTCTTACCTTACCGCAAAGTTCGTCTGCTATGGCTTCTGTACTCGGAGGTCTTTACCCTCCCGTGACTGGCATTGAACGTCTCCTTGTCTGCATCTCAGACTGTTCTGCAGCGAAGGGCAAGAAGGTTGGTATTTTCTCTGTACTTCACGATATTTTCCTATTTTTATCCACCTGCATACCACTTAGCAAGTCTACTTTATGCTTGCCTCAGGATTACCCCGTGAGGTTCTTCATTAGATCGAAGGGCCGGCAGTGAGGAAAAAACGGAAAGGTTCCTCGAGAACGCTCAGGTTAAAGGCAAACTCCGGGATAAAATGAGGGTGTTCACTGTACAAATATGACGCCCCGCGTGCTAAGAGAATCAAACCTCAAAAAGAAAAGCAGAAATTATCCCCGAAAAGGTCTTAAATAATGACCCTTTCTTCGTTAGTTTCTTAGAAGCCAGGCCTGGGAGGGTTACGTGTCTGAGCGTGTTCACAGCACCTGCTGGCTCCATGCCAACAACCGACACGGCCATAAAAATCAGCAGTGGAAATTCATTTCATTTTATTTTTCTACCAGATTAGTCCCCCGTCAACCGCCGGGACCTTCCTTCCTGCATAAGAGTTATGTCTTGCACTGTAATCCCTTCCACCTGTGACACCAACACTTCGTAAAGCTTACGCGTACGCAACAAAAGGAGTTCCATGAAGTAGAGGGCATCGCCATAGTCATAATACGACGGTAGATTTTTCCCGCCTCCCCTCCCCGTCCTTCCTCCCTTCCCTTCCCTCTAGCTGCCACTGCAGCACCATGTGGAATGAACGGAATCGCGCTCAGCAGATGCTTATATAGCCGTTCTGGGTTATCACAATCATGCTTGTGCAAAACATTGATAGCGCAAATCCTGCGAGCTACCCAGATTTGTTGGCGGTTTGTTTATTCCGTTAGCTGCCTTATCACTCACTCACTTCATTTTGCGGACGGACACACATACATTACACAAACACGCACACACAACACACATACAGATACACAAACGACACACAAAGTTAGCCGCTTTATATAAATTTTTCTATTGTTTCTGCTTATTACTGCTTTTTTGTTTGCTTTTCCCCATTTGAAAAAAAATTATTCTTCTTAAAATGAATTGCAAAGTTCCCGATAATGACAATAACAGAGACTTTGATGTTGAAGTTGGCAGTAGAAATCCGCGAAATATCCTCCTACGACCTTCCAAACAACGCCTTGACATCTAGTGTTCCGAGTGTTGTTTGGAAGGTTGCTTGGAACAGTGGGCGGGCTCAATGGGATTGGGGCGGCGCCGATGCTCCAACCTGGGCGCCTAGCGTCTAAACCTTGTCGAATCACCCCACAACTTCTGCACATGGTTCGCGCTTGCCTACTGCTGCATCTTTGACGGGAAAAGCTAACTTTTGACCAATTATCTCGAACTTTGCCTTTAAGAGCTTGTTACCTTTCGTGATCGGCTATACTAAGGCCATGAGGACTAGCAAGGTCTTTCAGGGCAAGCACGCTTTTCATAACGGTTTCCTGCATATTGCAGAGACCCATGCAGAGAGCAAAAAACCATGCAATTCATGCATTTCCTTGCAAGGTTTCAGCAGTACTAAAAAAGCGCAAGGTATTGCCAGCGGTTCGATCCCCTTGGTGACCAAATTTTACATTTGGGTAGCCGCCTAGGGGTTGGTGCCGAATATTGCTAAGTATCAAAGTCATCAGATGTCACTCTCATGGTTAGAACCATACTGAAACCGAAAATAGCTGCCAACTTTGAATGTATGATTTAGCCGCCGCGGAAAGCGAACATTGAAAGAACCCTGTACTTCTTCTTTCGGTACTGCTAATACCGCTCAACGAAAACGAAACATGTTCGGCGGTCCATACATGGGTCCCTACAATATGAGGAACCGTTTCGTAAAAATGGAGCTTGTTCTGAAATATCCTCCTTGCAGGCGTGAAGGGGAGAGTACGAGGAGAGAGGGACAACAGATAAAAGGATGCTAGACAACAGCTTTACCGTAGAAAAATTGCAGCGCACTTTACAGAACTCTAGCGCTCTTGTCTGGCGATTTCCGTGCATGCAGCTGTATCTGTGATTGTACCCTAGGGGTCTCTACTACAGAACAGAGGGAATCGTTCATAGGACCTCTGCCGTTGTTGTCCCTTGAAGGCAGCGATTACGATAAAATGGAAGCGCGTCGGGGAAGCATGTGCACCGTAGACTTAGTTGCTTGGCTGCCAGGGAAGAGAGTTGTGGCGCTCTCGTGACGATAGATGAGCTGGTTGCTGAGCAGGACTCCGAGAGCACTCCGCCCACAGAAGCAATCCGCCCACTAGTTTACTTGCCGATTTGGACGAGCATCGTTGCCAACAGCGGGGTAACTGAAGCAACTCAACAGCATGAATTGACATGTTGTCACCAAACGCGTTGCAATGAATTCGTTCACACGTCCTTTTTCTGAGCTGTTGCCTGTTTATAAGTGGATTCCAACGGCCACAAAAGGGGTCTCGTTTTGCGTGCTCTTGACGGATTTCTCCGCTTTTTTCGCCACCAAAGTACCAGTCAACACCACCACGACTTCCTAAAACTTCCTCGAATCTATCGAAATCGCTGCCTTTGATGAGATGGAATTGGCACATTGATCTAATCCTTATTCCTGCCTTCAAACAATTCCATGCTGATTTTTGCGGTTCTTTTCTAACGTCAACTTTTTGATTTCTTAATTTCTTCGGGTCAAAGCAACGCGATAAGCTTGTATCCACGTATCCGCTAAAACACATTTTTTATAAACAAACTCAAAAATCTGAATGATATGCAAATACTGGAACACCTGGCTGAACAGATGGAATGCGAAAAAAAAACTTTTGGGATTTATTCCAATTAGGGGGGGGGATGAGGGCATAAGCCACTTACAGTGTGGAAAGCTGGAATGTTCGAATTCGCACTAGTTCGCCGAGAGGCTGCATCACGGTTCTCCCCCCCCCTGACTGGAACAGCCCCAAAAACTTTGAGAATGTAGATGACTACGTCTTTGCCCTCCTTCTTTTCCCGGCTTTGCTACTTTGATTTATTACGCCCTTTTTGGGCTGGCATGTCGCTTAGACATATGAAAATAAATAAATAACAAGCACTATTTCACAAATGTTATGGTCCCGATGCTGTGTACAGTGGTTATGGGGACGGGCTTTTTCCAACACAGAAGTGAATCGCGTATCCAAATACGATAAGGCCCAATGAAATATAGTGATACGATAGAATTCAGCGCTGGAACAGGCACTGTCACAAAACTGAGGGAATACTCTAGAAGAGGATGATGATAAATGTCCGATTGGCCAATTGCATATGCGAAACTGCCCAAGAGTAACGTCATAGGTAAGGATGCTTGGAATGTGAGCATCTGAAAACAAAAACTAATTAGTTTTCTCGATACATCAACCTTCACAATCAACAACCTGCACATGAAATTTTGTGGCATGGAAGGTTATTGACATTATGTTTTCGAGCTCTGGCGCAAGATGAAATAAACAACGGCATTAATAAGCCTTGGGCAAAACTGTACGTATGTGTGTCGACTGTACGTTTTCCTAGTAGATCGAACTACTCGTGACTCATGACATGATTTGGATCTCACCGATGTGCCAACATTCCGGACATACTTTTATCCACAGGATTTTTGATGAACTTAGTGTCTCAGAGACCAGAACGAGCTAGTAATTGATATGAGAAAGCTCTAATTGATGATGATCGCAGCACAACGGGATGGATCGAGCTATTCAACTACTTGTTTAATGCAACAACACATCTCAAACTGGTAGGGTAACAGCTCGATAATCGAAATTGTGGATGCCAAACGGACTGAAAATAACACAAGGACCAATGCTAACCGCCGATGAGGCCCTCGACCAAGGTGGGCCTCATCGGCGGTACTTCCCTTCTTCGTGGAATGAGAGAGGGGCGAGCTTCAGACGAGCTGTCGGAAGTGCTTGCACCATCGCTCCACTAACCTGCACGTATTTGAATGAGGCGCTACGCCGTAATCCACGTTGTGTGTCGTGGGGTATGCACGAGGTATTAGGTGTTTCAGAAGTTCTGTCGTTTTCCAACCCCTAATTTTAAATGCACGTATCTCGGCTTAGAGTGAACTTTTCGAGTTGAGTAAAAAACAGTTCGAAAGCGCAACTCTTTTTCTTTGAGAAACCGTTTGCCTGGGTACGTTTGTTTGGAATGCTGGACCTCTGGAGGCGATGAACTGAGGGAAGGTCGTTTTGGCATCATGTTGGGTTTTGATGTATTTCTCTTCAAGGTAACTATCGAGATCCTCAGAAATTTTACCGTAGATAGATCAAAGGTCTACTAAGGTGTTTGAAGAACCACTCTGAAGTTTAGCTGGTACAGCCTATGAAGGGCTGGCCGTGCGATGTTCGCTCAAAACACCCTTTAAGGATGTGTGCGTTCCTTTATAATGAGGAATGCTGGACCCATGCCTAAGAGTTTTCGATTATTTCTGACTCAATATAAAGATCGATTCTTCACTGTAGCAGTTCCACCTGATACTGAAGAAGATGGCCAGCCGCTGACCCCATGGAAGCTGCCACAACCGTCCTCCAGCACAGTTTAAATTCTGCAAAGTTTGTAGAGCTTCATCGCCGTTGATCTATTCAGCAAACTTTCGTAGACTATAGAGAAGAATCTGCTCTTTATTGTACGTCGCAAATCTGTAGAGAAACGAGTCGCTTTTATCACATACGAGCGAAGTTCGATGGACGACCCTTCAGATTGGTGATTTGTCGCGGCACGCCCCTATCAAATTTTTTGGACTTTCCAGCTTCCAGTATAGCTTGGCTCTACAAATCATATACACCCAGGTTGGGCAGAACCTCCTCCATGGTCTTACGCACGAGTGCTTCAATCAGAACTTTTGGCTAATCGGAGACACCGTCCGATATCCGACCACTACTCTTATCATATTCAAGGCTCTCGCCTTCGTTACAATAAATTTTTTAACTACTGCTTTTGAGCACATTTATTGCAAATCTAGGTCCAAAGCATCGTTAATATCTTGAACTGTTCCCGCCACTTTCAGATCTATTCAAAGCCAGAAAAGAAAGTCATGCTAACTTGTTCATCGAGTATACCGAATTCAAAGCTTTGAAAAAGCTACAAGAAAACAATTCAGGACAAAGCTGAGCTAAGCATTGGATAGAGCTGGAAATGCTCTTCAAAATGATTTCAATTGCAGCTTTCCCAGACTTCAATAAAGCATCCAAAATTGGAGTGTCAGAAAATGGCGGAACTTTCTGAAACACCTAACATCTTGTTTGTAAGCTCACATTTGCCGACACTAGCACACTCTGTGAAGCCCTCGCGCCATTGTCGCGCACTTCCGAAGTGCAATAGCGGCACATCTGCGATACACATGGGCTACTGTATCCTAACCGCGGAATGGAATTTTCGACACGATCTCGTCTGGGGTTGTTGCCTGTTGACGTAATTGACGTCTGGTACTCGTATTTACCTCTGGGTGAGCGTGAGCGCTCCTATATAAAATACCTTACGGTTTTTTAAGGTAAAAACTTCAGATGAGCTTTGAGAGTGTTGGCAGGATGGAAGGAATTGGTGGCCGCAACAGGGAAATCCCAAAGTTAACGCTTCCAGGGCCAGCGCCTGCCCATCGCCATGAACAACGAATTCCATATTCATGATTAGGACCGTCAGTAACCCTTACAAAAAGACTCTGATTAAAAACTGGTGAAAAGGTGTGACACCAAAACGGCCCCACTGCAATGTCACGACCTTTCCACCAGGTTTTAATCAAGGGTTACTGACAGTCCTAATCACGAGTTCGGTACGAATTATTAATGCTAACTCCATTTTGCGTGAATTATGAAACGTCAACTCGTAATGCAGAAAGTTGTCACCACGAGGAATCGATCCAGGGTTGACTGACAACTGAGCGTTTCGTCAGCAATTCGAGACGTACTAGCGATAGGCCTGCTACTACAAGGGCTGAACTCGCTAGCACACGATTCGCTAGATTTGGAAGGTGACACTGGCCCGAAGCTAATGTCACCATCTTGCGCCCTTGAATGTTTTTAAGTAATAGAAAAATTGTACCAGGAGTAGTTGGGAATGAAGGTGTTTAGTGCCTTGAGACATGGCTGTTTGAATGCTCAGTTTCGAGATAGTAAGTTTCCTGAGAACAAGAATGGTGATGTAGGCAGGAATAGGTATTAGGTTGATATAAGTGCACACGAGAAACGTCTTCCACTCGTAATAATTCGAGCTACCGCTGACGCACTCGTTGCTCGCATCGATGGAGAACTTCTTTCGAATTTCCTCTTTCAGTAGTGTTACATCGTCACCAGTGAGGCAGTGCATAATCTGAAATCTTTTTCATCATGGCAACTCTGCGCTAGAGCCATGTAGGCAAAACTCCCAACGTTGCCTCCTATACTACTATGAGCTGGTATTCGATGTTAATTCTTATTCATAGCAATTAAAATAATGTGCAATTTGACCAGATCGCCAAGTAATCTCACTAGGAAAAGTTAACAGATCAGTCCGGCCATTCGCAATGAGGTGAGATCATTCCACTAGTCTCGAGACGGTGACCTCAAGACAGTCTCTCGTATTTGCTAAACGATGTTTAAAACGGAGTTGCGAAGGCTCTTCTCCGCATTATTTTGCTTGCTATCCTTATCGGAGGCGTTTTCAAGAGTTCCTTAGCTCTTCAAGCAGGCAACTATAGCAACATTACTGCAGTAATGATGTAAAAGCCTCACAGGAATGCTAGGTTATGAACAAAATGTTGCCACAGACGAGACTCAAACTCGCACTTCTTCCCTACGGAGTAGGTGCGCATAGGTTGTGCTACCGGAGCATCGTCTCACTTGTGATGAGCCGGGGCGCCTGAGGAGAAAGCTTTCTTTATAATCCAGCATGATTGTGAACACAGCAGTTAAAGGCAAGCTTTGGGATAAAATATGTAGGTATGGAAGAGCGTTCACTAATGAAGATAGGGCGTCCACCAAGAGGCCCATCACGCGGCGAAAGAAGAGACGCAGATGCGGCAATGGACAAGTCGCAGCGCGTGCTGTCCGATATGAGACGTATCGTACGCCCTATTTAAACTGACGCCTGATCGCTACGGTAAGCGCTGCAACTCTTCCTTCGCCATGTTTGCGTCTCTTCGTTGCTTGGGGGACACCCATGGAGCTAGGGGTGAGGATTGGTCTAAAGAAGGGGAATAGAGCAAGCGAAACCGCCGATCATGTCCCTGATAAGGAGCCCCTCTATTCCAGCCGCATTTTATCTGTTGTCTCATATTACTGTCTCACTTTTATTCAACTTCAAATTTCTTTGTCTGAGACCGATCCATTGCGAAATAGACTAGTATGTTGAAATATGCTTCAAGGGCCTCAACTAGGTAGCTTTAGAAGAGCAAGCCCACAACGGGTTAATTAACAAGAAATAAAAATACGTCAGTGACAATAATGAATGATTATGCTTGACGATCCACTAATGAGCTCTATTGCAAGGAGGACAGCGAAGAAGATCAGCGCTATGTTCAGCTTAGTCTCTGCTACTGATAGGTTACTGAGTTAGTAATCCAATCGCAACAGCAAAGGCGAAACGATTTGTAAAAATACATAAACCTCATGCTGGGGCCGCGGTCACGTTTGATCAAAGCTCCTTGTACCGTAAATTGGGAGTGTATCCGGACGTTACCACCAGGGTACTGCAGCAGATACCTGGGCGTAGCCGATGCAGCAGCACACGCCATCAGGATGGAAAGAACTGCAGAAGAATGAAGTGTTGATAGAAACCATGTGGTCACGCCGACTATGAGCGAGAAGCACGCTTGACCACCTGGGGAAAATTCATACACGTTGGCACAAGAAGAGCTTGGCCTCATCGGTCACCAGTGGAGATGAATCATGAGTCCACTGCGACAACAACACGGGGCACGCCCGATGGCTACCTCGCAGCCAGGAAGCACCAGCTCAACCAAAGTCTGCACTCCGTATTCTGAGAATATTACTCTCGACTTCGCTATTCGCTAGGTGGCCTCGTTTGGAAACCACCTCATTGTTTGAAGACAAGCATTGCCAAAGTCATCGTGGAATAGCCCTCCAGGCCGGCTTCGAAATTGCGAGGGAACCTTCAGAAACGTCTCAGAATCCCTTTTCTCCAAATGGACCCCGACCTCACAGTGCAATGTCAACTCGCCACGTTCTGAGGGAGATAGCCAGAGCCACGAGTACTCATCCACCTTATCGCGGTGGCATCACATGATCGTAGCATCGCCTCCCCGCGTCCTTGACCAGCATAGAAAAAATTCAAGGAATACGATAACCCCAAAAACGACTTCTCCAACTTCTTCAACCCCCAGCTTCCTTCATTCTAGGCGGAAAGCTTTCAAAGATTTAATAGCAAAGGCATGAGGATCAGTGACCATGACGGTGGTAATGCCGCTGATCAGTTGTTTCCTAGAAGAAATAGAACATGAACAAACGATAGTGTCAAAATTGAGACAGGAATCATGAGACAACCCAATATAGTACCTCAGGATAGAGAACGGCCGTGTTGGACCAATTTCACGAGCTTAGCTCCAGCTGTTCCAGCGCCTACGATATGGAATCGCTGCCGCGGCTGCGCGCGCGCTTTTTGAGCAGCGTCACGTGGCAACCGGCAGCAAAAGGTGGAGCTTGGGGACGAAGGAGTGAACTGTGGGTAGAGCGAGCTCCCAGTGACCTTGTCGTGCGCTTTCAAGCCGCAAAAGGGGCGCGACATCAACGCCCGTCCGCCTGCGTACTGCGCTAAGGTATGAAGCATTTGAGCATGCTTAACCCCGGAGCGTGCCTTCAACAATCAAAGCTGTCAAGACTTTCTAGCTATTTTGCCGAAAAGTGCAAAAGAGTACACTCAGCTGGGATTCGATCTTGCCGCTTCTGCCTGTCGGCCGATGCTGAATACTACAACTGCTATATTAAGCTTGACAACTCCGTTTGAAAACCCTTCACCAGATTTTGGAAAACACTTTCGAGCTCATTGTTAGCGTTTCTGAATTAAAGCAACTATGTACACCCTGCACTGCTGATGGTCGGACCAAACTGTCGACCTATCTTTTCACTCTTTCATGATATCGCATGGACGAGCTACCCAAGCCAAACGGTGATTTCTTTGAGACTCGCCCAATAGACGAATTTGGTAAATATATCAGAACGCAGCTGAGTATAACAGTGCGTTTCTTCGGTGGTTCATGTTCTATGATGTTATAACGATAATAGAAAGCGTTTAAGAGGCAAAAAAATCCATTAGAGAAACAGTGCAGATAGAAACCGAACCTGAAGCAAAGTTGAAAATTGGCACGTTAGAAAACTCAACCAGCCCTATCTCTTATGAGAGCAAATCACTGACCCAATAAAACAGGCCATAGGTCCAAAGAGTGAGCAACACGGCCCATCAGAAATGTAGAAGATACCAACGCCAGCAGCGAGGATTCTGAATGTTTTCAAGTGTTTCAACGTTCAATACATAAACTCGGGAAAACACCGACATCGATCAAGATCTTTTTAGGGGTGCGCCCAAAGGAAGCGCAATTCTACATAGTAGTCCAACTGTGGAGTTCTTCATATTGCGAAGCTTGGTTCCAACTCCCAAATCTGTTCTGATGCAACCATTCCACAGATTTTTTTCCCTTTCCATGAGATTCAAATTCTTTAAAAGTTAATGCTTGAAACAGACCTAGAGCTTCATGTAAAAAAACAACGGCTCACCAGTTGAAGGATTGTTACTACAGTGCATTTTAAAAGTATGTGACAACCTTAGAATTCACGGTAAAAAGGTAACTAATTGTAAGAGGTTTCGTGCTATGCAACCCTTCTCAATAGATTCCCCGTAGCTGATAACGTACCAGAGTACTTTAGCAGATAATATCGCCTTGCTTTAGTAGAAAAATTTTGATTTGAATTTTCTTCTTGAAAGTATGTGTACGCTTAAAAAAGACAAAAACATAACCGAGATTAGGAAATTAGATTATTAAAAGATTAGGAGTTTGAGCCATTCTTTGGTAGATTGCGGAACATTGACAGACACGTGGTCCTGTTGCTAAACATGCACCTTTCGCTGCGCTCCTCCAAGAAAGGGCAACAGGTGATATTGGAGCACTGCTTGGTATTCTTCACTGTTCATACGTAATAACGGAGCGGCAACTTCCAACTTCCCGCTGCTTGTGAAACCGCCCCAGACCCATCAACGGGCCTCCTCCGAAATTCTATCTCGAGAACACGAGCGGTTCTCCGCCATACCTCTTCAGCAAAGAGAAAATTCTTCCTGCCCGTCAAGATCAAACTCTTTCCATGAGTTAAGATTACCTGAGAAGAAAAAATGTTGTCATGTTTTCACGAGCAGACTCCAACCTTGCTCACTTGTGCTGAGCCTTGAAGTGAGTAGCTTTCCGCAGCGTCTGTCGAGTGGTGTATTCATTTGAGCGGATGAGGCGCTCACTGATCCTTTTCAACTGGTATAACAATCTGGGCACGGGCAGTCAATGAAGAATTCGACAGGATTTGGGCCACTCTTTTGCTGTTCTGAGCAGTCAAGGATCGTGGATAGCGGGGAGTGTGTGCTATAAATATTAGGGTGCCAGACGAATCTTCCAATGCTTGGAAAAGAACGACCAAGTTTTCGTGTGATTTCTGGATTGGAACGTTCAATATCATGCGGAGCCCTGATCTGAGCTTGTTCGTCTTCAGGAAGAAGCACACCACAAACAGGCATTATGACGAAATGAAATCATCAAATTCGGATTGAAACCGGTGGAAATTTCGCCGCCAAAATTTGATCTTCTTCAAGTGTCCACATACTTTTGAAACAAAGAAAAAAATTCGATTCAAATTTTTTTTACTAAAGCAAAGCGATATTATCTGCTAAACTACACTGATACGTTATCGACTACGAGAAATCGATTGAGGAGGGTTGCATAGCACAAAGCCTCTTAGCTACCTTTGTATTGTGAATTGTGAGACGTCCACATACTTTTGAAACGCACTGTATTATATATTAGGTTGTCAAATAAATAGTGTCGCTTTTTTTCAACCAAAAAAAGTTCATTTAAATTCCCATGCTTTGACATCGAGTCATATACTATTCGAAAGAGAATTGTCTGGTCTACAAGACGTTGTGTTCTTCTTCCATCTATGTTCCATGGTTTTCAAATTTTAGGCCTGCGAAATGGGAGGTCCAGCTGAGACCTAACCGACAACTATCTCTAACTTTATCTTTTCTTGGGAGAAATCAATCAATACTGTACCATCTACTTGAGCATGACATCTTCTATACATTGCACCATTAGGTTTCCCAACAAGTCGTGTCAT